GGCTCCGGCGATCCTTCCGCCTCAGCCTTCCCAGTAGCCGGAATTACAGGCATGCGCTACCACGCCCGGCTGATGTTTTGATTTATTGTAGAGATGAGGTCTCGCTGCCCAGGCGGGTCTTGAACTCACAGGCTCAGGCAATCCACTTACCTCAGCCTCCCAAAGGCGTGGGATTACAGGCTGAGCTACCGAGCCCGGCTGGTGTTGGCTTCTTAATTCAACAGAGATGATGGGAGTTACTGTGGTAGGGGACAAGTGGAGGATTTATCTCTAGAAACAAAGATAATTTGTTTACCATAATTGGCAACAGGGCAAGAGCAGTAATCAAAATGGTTTTACTTCCAGAAAACTTTAGGGTTTGTTAATTGATGTTGCCCCTGGAAATAAAATAGAGAAGCAGAGTATCAAACTTGATTGACATAAGAGAAAAAATGACTATAGGTCTAATGAATAAAGGTCTGTCTTTAATTACAAGAGTCTCAGCTTCTTGCCCAGTTTTTAAACTTAAATCAGCTTAGATCATTGATACTTAACATAATTGTTAATATATTAGGACAAGATTTAGGGTATTATTTTATTGTTTTGTTAATTCCATTTCTCATTCTTCTGCCTTTCTGTGAGTTACCTGAATCACTTTTAGTATTCCATCTTATCGATGGTTTTTGAAAATATTTCTTTGTGTAGTTTTTTTTTCAGCTGTTGCTCTAGGGATGATACAGATACTTCTTACAGTCTACTAGTATCAATATTTTACCGTTTATTGTGGAACACAAAAATCTCACAATAAAGTTTCCTTTATTGTCCTGCCTTTATTAAGTTAGCAGTCTCCACTCTGGAATCAGGGAGAGATTTCAAAGAAGACGATTTTTTTCATGGACTGGGGATGGTGGAGAGATCATCAGGTATTAGATTCCCATGAAGAGCATGCAATCTAGATCCCTCACATGCGCAGTTCACTGAAGGGTTTGCACTTCTATGAGAATTTAATGCCATTGCTGATCTGACAGCAGGCAGAGCTCTGCTTGTCCACCACTCAACTCCTGCTTTGCAGCATAATTCCCACAGGCTATGGACTGCTATCAGTAGCAATGATTGGGGACCCCGATGAGTAACTTAAAAACTGCCTTTACATACACAGAGGAGCATGTAAAACAATACTAATTTTTTTTCAACAACCAAATGTAATTTTAAAAATTTATTTTGAGATGCAGTCTCACTGTTGCCCAGGCTGGTCTTGAACTCTTGGGCTCAAGCAATACTTCTGCCTCAGCCTTGTGAGTAAATTGGAATTATAACGGCCTAGCCCAAATGTAACTTTTAAAACCTCAAGAGAAGTCTACTATATCTAGCCTTTCCATTGTGCTTTATTTATGCTATTTCAGATTTCCTTCTGGTATCATTTCCATTTTTCCTGAGATGTTTAACAATTTTTTTAGAGCAGGTCTACTAGTGATAAATTCTGTTTTCCTTCTTTTGAAAAATGTCTTGATTTTTCCTTCAGTTCTGTAAAATACTTTTTTTTCCTATTTAAATTAACAACTCTTCTTCATCAAAAGATACTTTTTTTTAAAGTCAAGTTCTCATTCTGTCACCCAGACGAGAAAAATAGGCAAGTGACTGAATTGGATACCCCACAAGAGAGAATATTCAAATGACAATAAACACATGAAAGGAACTTAATCTTATTAGTTTTCAGAAAAATACAAATTAAACTGCCCTGAAATACCACTGCATAGCCATTAGAATTCTAACAATTTAAGGCAATGAGAGTTTTTGAGGATTTGGAGCCATGTGGATTTTTTTTTCAAAGTGAGAAAAGCTTTATTAGGAAGAACAAAATGACAGTGCAGTAAATGGAATAGCTAGGTTGTATAAGAAAGGACTTGGAAAATCCTTCTGAGTCTCTTTAACACTTATGACTCCATTTATATGCATCTTGTTTCTGAAAAATACTTTCACTGGATACAAGACTTTGAGTTGACAGTTACTGTCTTTCACTACTTAAAATGCTGTGCCACTTCCTTTTGACCTCTATGGTTTCTTATGAGAAATCTGTGATCATTCTGTGTTATTCTCTGTGGCTTTCAATATTTTTTATCTTTACTTTACAGAGATTTGATGATGATGTATCTGGGTATAGATTTCTTTGGGATCTTTTTTTTCCTGTTTATTATTCAAATATATTTTTAACCCTGCATTTTCTCTTCACACACGAGTAGATTATTTTCTTATTGTCCCATAGGTTCCTGAGGCCTTGTTCATTTTTTTTTTTTTTTTGAGTTGGAGTCTCACTCCGTCGCCCAGACTGCAGTGCAGTGGCCGCTTCCGGCCACCACAGCCTCGACCTGCTGGCCTCCGGCGATCCTTCCGCCTCAGCCTTCCAAGTAGCTGGCACTACAGGTGCGCACTACCACACCCGGCTAATTTTTTAATTTATTGTAGAGATGAGGTCTTGCCAAGTTGCCCGGGTGGGTCTCGAACCCACCGGCTCAGACAATCCACTCACCTTGGCCTCCCAAAGTGCTGGGATTACAGGCTGAGCCACCGAGCCCGGCCCTCCTTGTTCATTTTTTTCAATTAAAATTTTCTGTTGTTCACATAGGATAATTTATATTCATCTACCTTCCTATTCTACCCTTTTCATCTATATCCTATTCGGTCTACCCATGAGTCTGTTACTATATATTTCAGTTCTAAAATTACCATCTGGTTCTTGTTTCTTCATTGAGATTTTCTACCTTTCCATTCATTTCAAGAATATCCCTTGTTACCTTTAAAACAGCTACCTAAGAATCTTTGTCAGGTAACTCCAACATTTGTGTTTTTGGTGTTTACTGTCTCTTCCTATGCAAGTTGAGATTTTCCCAATTTTTTGTATGTTAAGCAATATTGAATTATATTCTTGACATTTTTTTTTTTTTTTGAGTTGGAGTCTCACTGTCGCCCAGACTGGAGTGCAGTGGCCGCTCCCTGCCACATCAACCTCGACCTGCTGGGTTTCAGTGATCCTTCCGCCTCAGCCTTCCAAGTAGCTGGAACTACAGGCGCATGCTACCATGCCCGGCTAATTTTTTTGATTTATTGTAGAGATGAGGTCTCGCCTGCCCATTTGGGTCTCGAACCCATGGGCTCAGGCAATCCACTCACCTCAGCCTCCCAAAGGCGCGGGATTACAGGCTGAGCCACCGAGCCCGGCATATTCTTGACATTTGATTGTATACTTGTTTTGTTTTAGCAGGCAAAGTAGGATTTAGGTTACAAGTTCCAATCAACATACTGTGGGGCTGTGTTGTCATTTCAGTTTAAAAAATCTTTACAGTGTTACTGGGATCTGTCTTGTGTATACACAACCAGCAGTCAGTGAGAGACCTGGCTGGCAGTCTCTCCTATAATTCATTTATCAGTCTACGTATGCTGTGTACATCAGAGCCACACAAGTGCAGCTTGAGGGTGAACAAATGCTCATAAACAACCTGAAGGGGTTCCTTTCCAAAGTTCCTTTCCACAATCTCCCAGTGCTTTCTGGTTCCCTGGGGCTCACCCTTGCAAGCCTCTAAACAGAAAGTGGGGCTTTAGAGACTATGCTGCACATATCTAATGACTGTCGCTATATCCAGACCAAGCAGTGAGAGACTGAAAAAAAACAACAATGGGAGTTTGTTTTGCTCTATTGGTACCATAGGTCCTCCAATCAGAGATTCCCCTTGTGTATTTTTGGGTTTCTTTATATTAAGCCTTCCTTTAATGAATCTGAAAATGATCTTTTCTTCTCATTAGTACTTTCTTGACTACTTTATTAACACCTACGTATTTTGAAAAATAGCTTTATGATTCAAACTTCTCTTCCAATAACAATGTATAACAAAGGGTACAGATTTATGCCAAATATCTGTGATAGCAAAGTGTTTTTTATTAAACTTCAAAGAAAATATACACAGAAATTAGAAGTTCAAAAATTTATAATGACTAGTCAATGAATTGTAACAACTTTTGCAGCTAATGCTGGTGCTCCTGTACTTTGAGACACAGTATTTTTCAATACTGTGGAAAAGCTTGATTATGATAAAAATAACAGGCAGAATTCTCTATTGCTGTTGCGCTATCTCCTGACATGTTAACTCAGAATAGCAACAGACTGAAGCAAATATAGCTCAGGATATTCTGAAAAATACAACCTCAGGAGATAATCTCCTAAAATGTGGAACATTTCAATTCCGGCTTTTCAGTGGAGACATCAGTGGACTCAAGAAGATCCAAAAGTTGGATGAGTAACCATAGCTGATAATGCTGACACAAATTTTAGCAATAACAAAATGAGGTGAAATGAAGAAAACAATATTGAAGTATCTGAGGTAGTGGAAGTATGTTCTAATCTGACTGGAATACAGTTATAAAAGTTGAGAGGCTAATAAGATCAAGAGACAGTGCCTTCGGATAAAGAGAATAAGGAATTGATTCAGGAAACATACTTCACTGTGATGACAAGTAAATTAAGGAGAAGCATGAACAAAAGCAGGTGAAAAAAATAGTTCAGGATGAAGAAAAATGCTTTCATGGGCAATAGCAGGGGAATTCCACAGATAGAGAATTCCTTAGTAAAATCAATGTGGAGATGAAATAAATAGGTATGAGGTTCTGGAAGAGGAACAAAATTGCATAAAAATGACTTTCTCTCATCCAGCCACATTCTTTTTGTTTCTGAAAAGCAATGTAGTTTCAGAGTCTTTCTTACTCAAAACTCCATATTTATACAATGCCACTTCTAAAAAGACAGAGGGACACCAACCTAAACTGAAATATGCCTATCTCTGCACTTACCGCTTTCTTCTCGGGCATGGGGGATGTTTTAATTTGTAAAAAGGACTGCAGAAATACAACAAAAATATAGACATAAATTATGTCACAACAGAATTTTATATCTGTTTAATTATATTCTGATCATTAATGCATTATCTGCATAAATTATGTCACAACAGAATTTTATATCTGTTTAATTATATTCTGATCATTAATGCATTATCTGCCTTAATAATTTCATTCGGATAAAAAATGATATGATAGTTTAAAGCTGGTTCAATTGCAATCTTATAAGTTTATCCAATCAAGAGCGAAAATAGACTATTAAAAATAGCTAAAAATGTAACACGTCATAGTGTTTAACATTTCTGTAATGTTTGGTAAGGCTTATATCCAAATTTGATTCAGAATTCTTAATGGCATTGAAACAGTTCTTTTTTCAGTCACATGGTATTCATTGGTGCTATGAGTCTGAAAGAGACTGGCTATGGGTACCACTTCTTGTCTTCAGCTGTGATTGTGCAATATCAGCAAGCGCACTTTGTATTTTTTCCAGAAGCATGTCCCCTCGATAAACAACATCCTCTAGACATGTAGCAGCTTCATGGTTTTCTTCTTCTAGCTTATATAAGCTAGCAGCCTTTATAAGACAAAAATTTAAAAATCTTTAGAGTTAAGAAGAAAAAAAGATGCAGCGAAGTATCTATTTTTAAATCTATATGACTTTGCAAACATCATATTTTCCAGTAGTATAGTTTCTAAAAATCAGATAACTTTTAAGCATTTTCCCTGTATCATTATTAAGAAGAATAGATTTTTTAATTTTTTTTTTTTTTAAAGAGGCGGGGAAGAATAGATCTTTCAATTAGAGAACTCTCTATATATGTAATTCCCTTCCAACTACTTTTTAATTTTTTTTTTTAGTGAAATCTCACTATATTGCCCAGGCTGGTCTTGAACTTCTGGCCTCAAATGATCCTCCAGCCTCTGCCTCCCAAAGCAGAATAGGGTTACTTCTAACTGGAAATTGAGTATTAAAACAAAAAAGTCCTATGATTTAAATGTTTGTATCCCCTCCAAATTTCAAAAGTTAAAACCTAATCCTCAATGTGATAGTATTAAGAGGTGGGGCCATTACGAGGCAAGTAAGTAATGAAGGCCCTCAAGGTTAAAGAGCAAGAGTTCTTGCTTCCTTGTCCTCTTGCCTTCTGCCATGTGAGGAAGTAGCAAGAAGACTCTCAACAGATGCTGATGCCTTGATCCTAGACTTCCCAGCCTCCAAAACTGTGAGAAAACAAATTCTGTTCCTAATAAATTATAGTCTCAGGTATTTTGTTATAGCAGGACAAACGGACAAAGACAAAAAGTAGAAAAATTATCACCTTTAATTCAAAATTCTCTATCATTGGTAAAATTCTCAAAGGAATAGGGGCTTTTACCTGTAAAGCTGCTGTAGATTCTTCACTTGGTAAGGAATCTATCAAAACATCAATGTCTTTTGCTGTTCGTGCAATCAGTGCTGCAAATAGTTGGGCATACTCTAGAGAAAGATATCGTTACATGAAGATATTAGGGAACTCAAGTTTTCAGAAACAGAAATTAAATTTTAAGATAATGAAAATATGCCAGGCTCGGTGGCTCAGCCTGTAATCCCAGCACTTTGGGAAGCCAAGACGAGTAGATTGCCTAAGCCTGCAGGTTTGAGACCAGCCCGGGCAACTTGGTGAGACCTCATCTCTATAACACATCCAAAATTAGCCAGGTGTGGTATCGTGTGCCTGTAGTTCCAGTTACTTGGAAGGCTGAGGTGGAAGGATCGCCGGAGCCCAGCAGGTCGACGCTGGGGTAGCCATGAGTGTGCCATTGCACTCTGGCCTAGGTGACAGTATGAGACTCCAACTCAAAAAAAAAAAAAAAAGGAAAAAGAAAAAAAGAAAATAGAAAGCTTAAATTCAGCTAACTTCATACAAATTCTCCTCTGAATTTCTCAAGAAATCTAATGTGAAGGGATTACAAGATAACGAAGAGCCAAACTGAGCGAAGTCAAAGAAACTTATTTACCTTCTGTAGGGTTAGCTGGCTGGTCTTTGTTCATTGCTGTCTGAATATTATTAAAAGAGGCAGGAGGACCACATTGCTGCAACACTCCAATGGCATTACAAAACTGATCTGCAAGCTTGGGTCAAGAAAACAAGTCAAGGTTAGAAAGAATTCATCAATGTTAATGGCAACAAGTTTCTGTAACCATGATTTCTGAGAGAATAAAACAGAAAGGAGCAATTTTATATAAAATAAGCCACAAATAAACACTATTTGGTTAGTGGTGGGAAAGAGCAAATCTGACTGGCAAATACCTAAGTATGGCCTCAAGGTTAATAAAAAAATGTATGACTTACGCATAAGGTAAATGATCCCTTTTCTGAGACAGAAGTAGTTACAAGTGTAAAGAAACAGTGGGAAGATGCTAGAAAAACTGCCTTAAGTAATCAGAAATTTATTTCTCCAAGACTCAAACTGTAAACTCCTGATGCTCTAAAAGTATTCTTTAAAGTTTTGAAGACTGAGAATACCCATTCCTTACCATTTCCAAACTAAATACCTTCATCCTCCCCCACCAATTTATCTCACCTAGTCTTAAGGTCTCAAACCTCAATTTCTATTTCCAGTGAATAAGAATTTCCATTGAGTTTCTCTGCCCTTGTTTCAATGACAGACTGCAAACTTAGCTGTTTATTTTATTCAATATCTCGTTTGTACTGAGAGTTTCCTAGTCAACCAGTCTAACTTCAGATTCTTTCATTTTCAAATCTTGCCAATATTATGAATCTTACCCTTTCCTTCTATCATTATTGCTGCTGCCTTCATTCAATTATCTCATACTAGAATTATTATAATAGCCTCCTAATCATTTTCTAGTTCACCATGCTACTTTATTTATTTATTTATTTTGAGTTGGAGTCTCACTCTGTCGCCCACACTGGAGTGCAGTGGCCGCTCCCAGCCACCGCAGACTCGACCTGCTGGGCGCCTGCGATCCTTCCACCTCAGCCTTCCAAGTAGCCAGAATTACAGGCATGCGCTACCACGCCTGGCTGATTTCTTGATTTATGGTAGAGATGAGGTCTCGCTGCCCAGGCGGGTCTCGAACCCGCAGGCTCAGGCAAGCCACTCACCTCAGCCTCCCAAAGGCGCGGGATTACAGGCTGAGCCACCGAGCCCGGCTTCACCATGCTACTTTATCTTGCACAATTTTTGAGCTCACTCCACCATGGTCTTCAAGATAAACCCCCAATTGAGGCTGTTTCAAAGCTTTCAATAATCAAAGTCAACTCTACTTATTTATTTTCCACTACTCTATTATATTTACCTGACCAGTCATGGATTCACTTATGATTAAATGGTTTATGTTATGCTAATTGTAAGTATAGGCTATACAAACCTGGATCCTAATCCTGGTTCTATTAACCTGAGTAGCTAAACTGGGAACATTCTCATATTACAATTTGTTAGGAGAAATAGAGGACAAACACACACAGACAAATATTCAACACAGTGGCTAACTGTTCCATTCTTCAGCTTTCAAGATCTATTTAATTCACCAAACATTTATCAGAAATCAACTCCATGATAAGCAGTTTATAAACATCATAGCAGCCGGGCTCGGTGGCTCAGCCTGTAATCCCGCGCCTTTGGTTGGCTGAGGTGAGTGGATTGCCTGAGCCCGCGGGTTCGAGACCCGCCTGGGCAGCGAGACCTCATCTCTACAATAAATCAAAAAATCAGCTGGGCGTGGTAGCGCATGCCTGTAATTTCGGCTACTCGGAAGGCTGAGGCAGAAGGATCGCAGGAGCCCAGCAGGCGAGGCTGCGGTGGCCGGAAGCGGCCACTGCACTCCAGTCTGGGCGACAGAGTGAGACTGCAACTCAAAAAAATAAATAAATAAATAAAATAATATAAACATCATAGCAATATGAGTGAATGTGACATAGTTTCCACATCAAAGTTTCTATCAGAGGATAGAACAAATGTTAATAATTATACAAATAATTAATTATGATTAGGATGAACGCTAAGAAGATTCTCTGTGTTTTGGGTCATATTTATCTATAATAGATTCCAATTTACTTCAGCACTTAGAGTTGACAACACTCCATTCATAATGACTCCCTAGACACACACCAGTTTTGCATCATTTAAATGTCTCTAGAGTATATGACATCTTTCTAATCTCCTTAGGAAATATCTCTGTGTAAACATGATAGTGCTTATATACACCATAGTCACTCATATTAGTTAACCTAAAAGTTTCTCTCCAAAATCCAGTTATCAGTATGCCTAACCTGTAGTTAAGGCCACATTCACTCTCTTCTTACTATCCTTGTAGTTACAAGACATGTATAAATATGCAAAATTTTCTGTAAAATAACATTTCTATCCGGTAGCATCATTTTTTGTTGTTTTTGTTTTTTGGGGGGTTTTTTTGAGTTGGAGTCTCACTCCGTCGCCCAGACTGGAGTGCAGTGGCCTCTCCCGGCCACCGCAGCCTCGTCCTGCTGGGCTCCCGGGATCCTTCTGCCTCAGCCTTCCAAGTAGCTGGAACTACAGGCACATGCTACCATGCCCCGCTAATTTTTGATTTATTGTAGAGATGAGGTCTCGCCAAGTTGCCCAGGCGGGTCTTGAACCCGCGGGCTCAGAAAATCCACTCACCTCAGCCTCCCAAAGTGCGGGATTACAGGCTGAGCCACCGAGCCCGGCTCAGCAGCATCATTACAATTTGACTTTGTAAAACCTCAGAGGAGTACCTCCGAGGGAAGTTGGCTGGCAGCCCAGTCAGGTCCGTGCAAGACAGAGTTTATCTTGTTTAATTCATGTTAATTTAGGGCTAGTTTTCTCAGCCTCAAAAGTTCCTATGTTATTCTCATAATGTAGATCAGTTTTCTACAAGTAGTCATACTCTTCAAATGTACAAAGACTGAGATGAACAAGAATGGCAAGTTATCAGCTTCCAGTAAAAGGGGGAAAAAAAAACCTGCAAGGAGACCAAGTACTTAGGTCTTCAAGTCAGCATATTCTCTTTACAGGCATCTTACCTGGGACATCACATTACAATCAGAATGACAATGAGAAACATAACTACCAATGGAAAACTAATTCTTGACGTAGTAAGTACAGCAACTGCGCCGCACAACTGCTTCTTGATCAATGGACGCATATATGATAGCAGTCCCATAAGATTATAATGGAGCTGAAAAACTGTCATCTAGTGATGTAGCCATCCCTTGCAGTAAAATGCATCGCTCATGTTTGTAGTGAAGCTGGTGTAAACAAACCTACCGCACTGCCAGTCACATGAAAGTATACAGCACTGTACAGTGTTTATGATCTCTGTGGTGCATAGTAGTGCCCTAGGTCTTCACATTCATTCATTCACTCACTCACTCACTCACCCACCCACCCACCCAGAGCAAGGTCCAATCCTGAAAGTTGCATTCATGGTAAGTGTCCTCTTAAGTGCCATTTAAAATCTTTTATACAGTGTTTTTTACTGTGCATTTTCTAAGTTTAGATATGTTCACATACACAGATACCACTGTGTTACAATACAGCATTCAGCACAGTCACACGGTGCAGTTTTACAGCCCAGGAGCCATGGGCTTTAACACACCGCCTACGTGTGCAGTAAGCTACACTCCATCTAGGTTTGTGTAAGCACGCTCCACGACGTCGTACAACAAGATCGCTAAAACACACATTTCTCGGAACACATGCCCTTCGTTAAGGGCCCAGGGCTGCCTACGAATTCTTAGGCTTGTGTTTACGTTCCATGCAGGCATAGCATGGAGGAAAAATAACCAGAAGGATTAAAGGGTAGCTACTTACAAGACCTGACCGTCGATAGAACATGCTTTGGAAGAAATTAAAGAAGACCTTAAAATAAATGGGAAGGCATAGGAGGATAAGGAGATTCACTCATAAACAGTTCTCCCAACAGATGTATACTGAGGGGTGGCCAGGAGATGGAACGAGACCCTCGGCCCATAGGAACAAACTGACATGCAGTACAACTTCTCCTCTCACCATCGCGCCAACCTCGAAAGCGATGGCGAAACCCTGCGCTCGGCTAACACGTAATGACAAAAATCCAATCCTCCAGAGCGAGAGATCCCCTGGGCGGATTGAAATTGACAAGGAAATATAAAGTTCCTGCCTCTACCCCCACCCCCAAGAGAGGAGGTCCCCGAGCGCCGCTAACAAGAAAACTATTGTCGGAGAACACGACAGGTGAGTGCAGCCTAAATCTTGGTGGCTGGGGAGGAGAGATCGTTCACGAAGCGAAAAAGGCTGTTCCCTCCCGCAGCTCTCCGCACCGTTCGGCAGCGGCCTCACACCGCCCCGTTCGCGGTGGCGCTTCCCGCCGCCCCGGGGAGGCGCTTTTTGCCCAAGTGCTGTCCCTGTCCGCTCCCCACTTTCGAGTTTTGCCTCCTGGGCTCCTTTCCTCCCTTGTTGTACCTCACGAAAGAGAAAGGCAGAAACGAATCGAGCGAAATTCCTCACCGAGTTCACGGCGTCTTGCAGCTGCGTGAGGCGGTCCGCCATGTTCCTCCCGCACGCAAAGGGACGCTAAAACAGCTGCTCGTGCGCGACTGGGCAGTGCCAGGACGCGTCACGACCAATCACAGGGCTGCGTTTCTGGAAGGGGTGGGGCCGGAGAGAACGCTCCGCCCGGCCAGGAGTGGGTGGGACTTTTCTGAGGCTTTTCCCTACCTTCCTCCTGCCGCTCCTCCCACCTTCCCTCCCTGGCTGGAGCTCGGTGACCTGATCACAGCTCACTGCATGCAGCCTCGACCTCCTGGGCTCAAGCGATCCTCTTGCCTCGGCCTCCGGAGTGGCTGGGGCTACAGGTGCGCTCCACCGCGAAGGGCTAATTTTAAAAATCCTTCCTAGAGAGTGGGATGTTGCTCAGACTGGTCTCGAATTACTGGCCTCAAGCGATCCTCCCGCCTTAGCCTCTCTAAATGTTTAGATTTTAGGCTTGAGCCACTGCACTGGGCCAGTACTTTGGTTTTTACCTCTGTAGTTGTAACTGAGCCTTCAGATTTTATAACCCTGTAGTTATAAAAATCATAAGGTGTTTGTTTTACTTATTTTCCTTTCTCTTTGTTCCTTTCTTCCTCCATGCATGATTGCTCTCATGCAGACATTCTGACAGAGGGCAGTCACTACTAATTGATTAGCTACATATCCTCACCTCTGAGGGCCAGCAAGATTAATGAATTTAGTTTTCTTTCGAGGAACATTGAGCCTTTGGTTATGAAGACCTCCCTGGTGACAAAGAAGTTTGGTTGAGGAATGTGAGCAGCTTTGATCATGAGAGATCTCACCTCCTGCATACCTCATAAAAGCCCCCAGTTATGCTCAAAGGCAGGTTGGATTTAAGAGTTTGCCTTTCCCACCCTCACACTTTGGTCAAATTGAATAAACCTTTTTCTTCTCTTAAATGCTGATGTGTCAGTATTTGGCTTGGATATTTGAACCTAACTTTTGAGATTGTGCAACATAGTAACTCCCTTTTTTTTTTTAGATGAAGTTCTTTCACAATTTATTTTATTTATTTTTTGAGTTGGAGTTGCACTCTGTTGCCCAGCTGGAGTGCAATGGCACGTTCACGGCCAGCTGCAGTCTCCACGGCTGGGTTCAGGTGATCCTTCCACCACAGCCTTCTGAATAGCTGGAACTACGGATGCGCACCACTGTGCCTGGCTAATTTTTTGAATTATTGTAGAGACAAGGTCTCCCACGTTGCCCAGGCTGGTCTCCAATCCCTAGGCTCAGGCATTCCTCTTGCCACCACCTCCCAAAGTGCTGGGATTACAGATGTGAGCCACTGTGCCCGACCTTTAACAATTTTTAAACTTTGTTACTCAGTCACAATTTATTAAATAAATATCTAAAATATTTATCTTGCTGGGCTGAAATACTATAAGTAGTCATTTGCTATACTGGATTCCTTGAAATTCCCTCAACACTCTGCTGTTTCACACTTCTATGTTCATCATATAAAACACACACGATTCTCTCTTCCCTGTATGCAATGCCCACATTTCCATTAATTCCTCCACTTTGTTCCCTTGGTGATCAGTCCTCAAATCTTGTTTTATTTTTAAAAATTATTATTTTACTCACCACTAAATTGAAGGAGAAAACCTTATTTGATTTATTTATCTTTTTGAGTTTGAGTCTCACCCCATTGCCCAGGCTGGAGTGCAGTGGCCACCCCTGCATCAACCTGCTGGACTCTGGCATTCCTTCCACCTCAGCCTTCTAAGTAGCCAGAACTACAGGTGAGTGGTACCATGCCCACACCTAATAAATAAAAAAATAATTTTTTTATTTATTATAGACACGAGGGCTTGCTAAGTTGTCTGGGCTGGTCTTGAACCCGTGGACTCAGGCAATCCCCTCACCTTGGCCTCCCAAAGTGCTAGGATTACAGGCTGAGTCACTGAGCCTGGTCAGAAAACCTTATTTTAAATATCCCCTTCTTTATAACAGTCTTTCTTGACTCCTGAAAGTTAATTGCTCCCAATCTTTACCACAATTCTTCTGTATATTTCTATTATTCCACTTAGCATACTGAGCTATAATTATTCATGGATGACTTGAATTCACTCACCAAGACCATGAGCTACTTGCAGGCAGGAAACATATTCTATCTCCATATTTCCAGTACTAGCACCCAGCATTTAAGCCACTGAATGCTTATTTATGGACCAAATGAATGAATTTTCTAGCACAGTAATTCCATATAATAGTTATTAAATACGTATATATTGAATGTAATGAACAGCCAAAATAATATAAATTACTGTCCACAGGAAGAGCATAAGAGTTTGAAAATACAAAATGAAGCCGGGCTCGGTGGCTTAGCCTGTAATCCCGTGCCTTTGGGAGGCTGAGGTGAGTGGATTGCCTGAGCCCGCGGGTTCGAGAACCCACCTGGGCAACTTGGCGAGACCTCATCTCTACAACAAATCAAAAAATTAGCTGGGTGTGGTAGTGCGTGCCTGTAGTTCCAGCTACTTGGAAGGCTGAGGCGGAAGGATCGCCAGAGCCCAGCAGGTCCAGGCTGCGGTAGCCGGGAGCAGCCACTGCACTCCAGTCTGGGCGACAGTGAGACTCCAACTAAAAAAAAAAAGAAAGTACAAAATGAAGGTGAGATTAGAGTAGGAAAGGATCACAGAAGTTCATTTTCCCGGATCCCTGCTCTCATCTTCATTTAAAGTGTCTTAGGTTTTATAAAAAAAAAATTAGACCAGGTGTGATGGCTCAGCACTTTGGGAAACTGAAGCAGGAGGATTGCTTGAACCCAGGAATTTGAGACCAGCTTAGGCAAATGAGACCTTGTCTCTACAAAAAGTCAAAAAATAAGCAGGGCCTGGTGGTGTGCACCTATAGTCCCAGCTAACTGAGAGATTGAGACTGAAGGATTGCCTGAGCCCAGGTGGTTGAGTCTGCAGTGAGTCGTGACTGTGCCCCTGCATTCCAGCCTGGGCCACAGAGTGAGACTCCAATTAAAAAAAAATAAAACAAAAAAAACTGGGGTAAGTTTTTTGTTGTTGTTTTTTCTACCCTTCCTCCTTCCCTCCTTCCCTCCCTTCTTTTCCTTTCTAAACTTCAAATAGACTTTAAGACTCTAGATCTGCATATCTTAGATTTGGGGATATTTTCAGTTTTTGCATTTTCTTTCAACATAGAAAAAAATGAACATGTCTGCAAAGTTGCTGAGTTTGTTTGCTTCTCACCTCTCCAGTGGAACTCTGACATGAGCAAGGAACCCCATCAGACCATTCTCCCAAGCTGTCAGAGCATTGTATTTGGAAGCCAAGGTAATGAGACCCTGTTCTGATTGCTGACACATCTGTCATCAGCTGTCATGAGGGCGTAAGGAACTGTGGGTATAGGTATGGTAAAATGTGGGTACAGTGCAAAGGTATGGAGGGGAGAGAATGGGGTCAGTTCAGGGAATTGAAGTTAATTCAGTGCAGCAAGCATAGCGGAGTTTGGTTTTAGTTGCAGTAAGAGCCTGGAGAGGTAGACAGGAGCTCCACCATGAAAAGCAAAATGTGTTATACTCAGCAAAATGGACTTTTCTTCTGAGGACTTTTACAAGAAAATCTTCAAAACTATATTTACCTTTTTAAAAAATTATATTTCCTTATTCAAAAACATACACATTTAAGGTAGAGCTTTTACACAGATATGTGCAAAGAAAATTATTCTTTTTTTTTTTTTTTTTGAGTTGGAGTCTCACTCTGTCACCCAGGCTGGAGTGTGGTGACATGCTCCTGGCCACTGCAGCCTCAACTTGCCGGGCTCAGGTAATCTTTTGCCTCAACCTTCCAAGTAACTGGAACTACAGGCACGTGGTACCATGCCCAGCTAATTTTTTGATTTATTATAGAGATGAGGTCTCATCATGTTGCCCAGGCTGGTCTTGAACCCACAGGCTCAGGCAATCCTCTTGCCTCAGCCTCTCAAAGTGCTGGGATTATAGGCTTAAGCCACCGTACACGGCCAGAAAATTATTCTTAATTTAACCATCTGGAGATAACTATTTTAAACATTTTGATATATATTTTTTCACTTTGTTTTTCTATGCACATAACTATGATGAATGCATATTTTAAAAGAAACAAGTTTGACATGGGTGTGGACACCTGTAGTCTCAGCTATTTGGGAGGTTGAGGCAGCAGGATTGCTGAAGTTCAGGAGTTCAAGGCCAGCCTGGACAACATAGCGAGTGAGTTCTTTTCTCTCTCTCTCTCTCTCTTTTTTTTTTTTTTGAGAGTAAGAGTCTCACTCTGTCACCTAGACTGGAGTGCAGTGGCATGCTCAAGGCTACTGCAGCCTCAACCTGCTGGGCTCAAGTGATCCTTCCAACTCAGCCTTCCAAATAACTGGAACTACAGGTGTGTGCCACCACACCCCGCAATTTTTCTTGATTTATTGTAGAGACGAGGTTTCACCAAGTTGTCCAGGCTGGTCTCGAACCCCTGGGCTCAGGGAATCCTCTCATCTCTGCCTCCCAAAGTACTGGGATTATAGGTGTGAGCCACGGTGCCTGGCCTTGTCTCTCTAAACATTACAATCCAGTCTATCCATTGCTCTGGGTTCACAAAAGAAGTATTAAAAAAAAAAAAAAAACTCATACAATATATACTTATTGCTTTGTAAATTGCCTTTTGATAAAAAACTTCAAGGTCAGTTGCCTTCTAGAACATAAGTGAAAGGCTGCATAAGATTCTGTTATATAGATGCATTATGGGTTGTTTAATTAGTTCCTCATTGTCGAGCATTTAAGTTGTTTAGATGTTTTTGCTACTATAAATAACACTTTGATGAATAGTTTTGTACACTATTTTTTTTTTAAGAGTCGGGTGTCTTCTATGTTGCCCATGCTGGATACAGTGACTTCACAGGTATGATCAGAGGGCACTGCAGCCTTGACCTACTTCAACTGCTCAAGCAATCGTCCTGCCTCAGCCTCTCAAATAGCTGGCTGTACAGATTTCATCTACTGAGGATAATAGGAATGGGGGCATGTGAGAGAATGAATAGGCCCCATAGAAACAGACTTTGCTACTAAAGGTGTGAACATTTGGACCAGGCGGTGGGAGAACAGGAAAGGAGTTGTACCTGTGACAAAGATTCTTTGCTTGGCCAAACTTTAGTCAGGCTTTTGAATCTTCTGCTGGGCCCTTCTGTGCACTTCCTTGTAAAATCTAGTTTTAGCAAAGAACTCTGCTACATCAGTGTGGCAAGAAACCCCCCATTCTCCGCATCTGAATATCTTCTATATCTGATTAGTTCCCTCATCCTCTGTCACCTCCCAGGTGTCTGATCACCCTGACCTGTCTTCAGCAAGAATTGTTAGGCCAGTTTAGCCAGAATCCTCCTTACCCCTGATGTTTCCTCCTAGTAATTTTCCATCCACGAACACCCCACTCTGCTCCTTGGCTATAAATTTCCACTTAACCATGCCGTCTTTAGAGTTGAGCTCAATCTCTTTTCCTCACTGCAAGACCCGGTTGCAGAGGCCCCCATTCTAATAGAGATGGTCCTGAATAACCTTCCTTCCCGTGCTTTAACAAGCATCATCGAATCGTTTTTTTTCTTTAACACCTGTTAACATTAAGGACCCTGGTATTGATTGTTCGCTTAGTAGTGGATTAGTTGAGCAAGTAATGTCCAAGCTAGAGCTGCTCATTAAAATATACACATGAGAAATTTACAGAGTAGGAAGGGAGAGCAGGACACTCCCACCCAATTCACTTTGAGTCTGTACATCGAATTCCACGATCAGCGGATGAGCCAGCCACCTGTCACGTGGCCCGTGTGTCACTGTCCCTTCAACAGCCCTCGGGGATGAGCTTTGAGAGAGGAAGTCCCGATGAAGGCTGCGCGTCTTCGAGGATATTTTGCTTAGGGAACATGAAACTACCGTTAAAGGTGGTGCTCACCTCTAGCGCAGCCGCCACTACGGAAACAGCAACTGCCCGGCATTATCATACAAACATCAGCCTTGGCAGCAGAGCCGATTGCCACAGGGGGAAACAATCTCCTCTTGTTGGGAAACACGGGTTGAAGGAGGGCCCCGATTCCTCTTTTCCGTTGTTGTGAGGGCCGTTGCACGCGGGAACCTGGAGACGTTAGTCCGCAACTGACAGCCCTTCTGTCCTTGAACGATGGTTTTCGTAAGCGGCGAGATGCCAGAGTGAGAAGCGGGGGGGAGAATTGAGAAGTGAGAAGCCTCTCCAGGACTTCCTGCGAGCCCCCCGCGCGCCGGGAGGGGGCGCGCGCTGCCTGGGAACGCCCCCAGCGCCGCCCCCGCCCGGGGACCCGCGCGGTGACGCACGGAGGCCGGGAGGAGGCGCGGGGAGGCGCGCGGGCGGTGAGGTGCGGGGCGAGGAGCCCGGTCGTGGGGCCGGGTCGCCGCGGGCCGCGCGCGGGGCACCGCGGGGCTGGCAGGTGCGAGGCGTGTGCACCTGGCGGGCGATGGCGCCCCGCCCCAGCGCCCCGGGGTAGCGCGGCCGAGGCTGCGGTGCCCCGAGGCGCACGGCCGCCCCCGACCCGGACCTTGGCGCGGGCCCGGGGCGGCGATGGGGCTCCTGCGGCTGCTGGTGTTGGCGGCGCTGGCGTCGGAACGCGGGGCGGCCGGCGCCGCCGAGCTCGTCGGGAACTCCAGCGAGGGTAAGGTCCGGGCGCCTCGCTGCTGCGAGCCACGCAGTTGCTTTTGCGTTTTTTGCAAGGTCAACGTCCCTGCCCGGGGTCCGTCCGGCGGGCAGGGGCGGTGGTGCTCGCTGGGGGGTGAGGTCAGAACCGGCACCGAAGGACGGGAGTTCTTTCCTGCAGTGGAAAAAAAACCCCATGGCGAAGGCGGCCTTACTGTCAGCCTCCTCAGTTAGCCTGGGGAAGTGGGAAGAGATAAGGAGCTGTCTTCTTCAAACACCTCATTATCTCCCTTAGGGAGCAGCCATGTTTGTGGTTTTCATGTAACATACGAAAGCGCCCCTTTGCTCCTTAGTGGACTAGCTGAGCTTCTGGACGGCGAGACTCGGCGAGGAACTCGGGGCTCTCCAAGCTGTGTTGAGCTTTTGCACTCCAGAATCCAACCGAGTTAGAGCTTGACCATGTTTTTCAGAGTTTGAGAGGAAAAATGGGACTTGACTTATTTTTAAGAGCCTTTGCGATCTAATTTATTAATGCCATCTGGGGACAGGAAAATGCACCACATTTACAATGAGATAAAAGACGTTCTGAATTACGGATACATAGGCATACAGATAGTGTATACACTACTCAGTCCTACAATTCCAGCCACAGATGAAAAATTAACACAGGCATACAAAAGCTTACCAGTCCAGATATCAAAGACTTTTTCTCTTTTCTTGTGGGCAAGGAATCCCAAATTGATTTGAGCTCAAAATAGACAAAAACTAACAAGCTGTATTCTCTAATGTTTCTCATCCAACATGGAAGGGATCTCTGTAAGACATTCTTTTGCAGAGATCGCCAAATTCCCAGTCATTGCAGCTGCCAACCCAGTATTACTTGCCATCCATAAATGGACTAAAAAAGACACGCAAATTAATAGAGAGTAAAACTAAGATTAGGAAAACAAAAATCAACACAATTCTGTTACTACTTTGAATTCACCTGCAGGAGCCAAGGGAAGAAAAAACATGCCTGGGCTTGGCCCCTGTTGTGATCATTTCAGGTGACTCTTGGTCATCTCTGTGGGAACTCAGAATGGGACTTTTGATGGTAGGTCTTGTGGTTGGTGAATGGGTTTTTACAACAGTTCGTGGTTTGTTCATATAAAATATAAAAAGTACTATTTGTGCCAGGCTGATAATCATGTGCTTTTCCATGAAGTGAAGCACATTCTTCCATTTACTTTGAACTTGAGACACTGGTTGCAGTTCCAAAACATAATATTTTCTGAGTAATGTGATTGTATTCCTAAATGCTTATCTTTGAAAAGCCCTTGTGAAAAATGAATTCTAGACTCTTGGCATAGGACTAAGGCCAAAGTTGGAAAGGGCAATTATGGTTGTTTTTTGAGGGGCAGGAAAACCTTGCTTTTAATAGAGCACTAACATTCTCTGTGTGCAGTATTATTTAGCCCTCACCACCCTATGTTACAGTAATCTTCCTCACCTGGCAGAGGATGAAGCTGAGGCCCAAGGTGCTCACTTCACAAATGAACAGCTAGTAGGGGCACAGATAGGATTTGAACCCAGGTGTGGCTCCTGTAAATTTCATGGTCCTTCCGCTTCAGTAAAGCTGCCTTCCAGTAAGAGTATCTCGCATAGTACGTGTGAAATACCTTCTGTGAATCCTCATTTCTCAAAATAGCCGTATGCCTGAGGTAGAAGAGATGCTATCTCCATTTGTTTTTGAGTTGGAGTCTCACTCCAGGCTGGGGTGTCCAGGCTGGGGTGCAGTGGCATACTCATGGCCACTCCAGTGTTGACCTGCTGGGCTCCGGTGATCCTTCCTCTTCAGCCTTCCAAGTAGCTGGAACTACAGGCGCAAGCTACCACGCCCGGCTAATTTTTGATTTATTGTAGAGATGAGGTCTCGCCAAGTTGCCTGGGCTGGTCTGGAGCCCATGGACTCAGGCAATCCACTTGCCTCGGCCTCCCAAAGTGCCAGGATTACGGGCTGAGCCACTGAGCCTGGCTGCTATCTCCATTTTAACAGGTGGAATTTGAGATAGTGGGTTTGTAGTCAGGCGGACTGGAATCCAGAACTTTGTGTTTCTAGTTTGGTGCTTTAGTATTTAATATCCAGAAATTTTTACACAAAAGTTGAGAAATATGAGTGACAGATTGAGAAATTATTTTTTCAGGTGCTATTTCTTGTCTCTTTTCTATTATTACAGCACTGATATTCTTCAACGAGGGTTATTCTCTTTGCATTAGTATTGCCATTGTTCTTCTATGTGGGAGAGGGACAATGTAGGAATTTTGCTGAGTGATAGTAAAAGCTGATATTCTCTACCTCTGTCATATAAAAGTCAGTATGGAAATTAAGAAAGACCTAGTTCAAGTTTGCATGATTCTCCTGGAAGATGGGCAGATTGCTGTTTGGTGATTCTGATAATGATGCAAACTTAAATTGTGGGCCAGCCGTGGTAGCTCATGCCTGGAATCCCAACACTTTGGGAGACTGAGGTGGGAGGATCGCTTGAGCCCAGGAGTTTGAGACCAATCTAGGCAGCATAGGGAAACCTTGTATCTACAAAAAATAAAAAAAATTCGTGGTGGTACCTACCTGCAGTCTCAGCTACTTGGGAGGATCGCCTGAGCCCAGGAGGTTGAGGCAGCGATGAGCCATGATCATGCCACTGTACTCCAGCCTGGGTCACAGAATGAGACCCTGACAAAGAAAGGAAGGAAGGAAAGAAGTTTAGCAACTGCTATAATTTAGGAGGATTTACCTATTTTTAGCAGCAGCTGAAGTAGTGGCTTGAATGCTGAATGCATCTTTGAAGGTGGCACATGGAGTTCCTAGAATATCTCAGGAAGGTGCTTTGTGACCAGCAGACATGGGAAATGAATCACACATGTATACAGTTTTCCCTTCTCTTGGAGTCCTAGTTCACTGCTACCTTTAACATCTTTCACTATTGTTTTATGTTCATATCCAGTAACTCCTATGGAAATTCATGGTAATTGGGGCTGAACAAAATGTCATTTGGTCCTTCCAGTGACTGTGCTACAGATGATACTTTAAGCAAGGTAGCAGGTCATTTGTGTAGTTGCGAGACCTTTCTGACAAAAGTATATGAAAGGTAATATGTTCTTTTTGAGAAGACAACAATAGATTTAGGTTAAGAGCATGCTATTGAGAGGCCCAAGAAACCAAGAAACTTATTTGCTGTAAACGTAGCATTTAGTTCACTATATTTCATATATCCCCACCTCATATTTACTATATATTTTGTGTATTCCTACCTCATGTATTTTATGAAATCTTAGTACTTTAAATCCTACCTCAGACCCCGTAGAATTAGGCATATGTCGGGTGCCGGGTCGTGACCAATTGTATAATGGCGTTAGTAGTGTTTGTATTTAGAACTCTTGGGTTAAGCATTGTCAGCCCCAAATTAGTAGGCTAACTTCTGCTTTTACAACGGGATGTAAATGATAAAGCGATAAGCCCCTTTCAGACATTCCTACAAGGTGGCAGCAGACTCAGAGGCGCCAGCTGCTCTCTATCACCGGTTTTTATCCCAGTGATAATTTACACGCAGTGGCTATGTAAACCTGCAGGGAACAAAGACTTTTATAAAAGAAACCGCCTTGCTATAATATGCTTGTGATATTTTATAAATTCCCAGAATTAGTATATGATTTTCTACCCCACATTCACTGTATGTGTTTGCAGCATTCATATTTAAAACTTTGTTAAGTTTGGCTTTTGTTGTCCCATAATGACCATGTTATGTTATGTAAATGTTAAGCAAACAAGCTTTCCTAAGCATACCTTGGGATGGAAACTTAAAGGGCTAATGTAACCCTTTGCCTGCCGGCTCAGGTTACTTCATATGCAGGGACTGCATGGACGTAACTTATCTAACATTCCACTCGGCCCATTAAGTGGGTTTCTGTCAATCACGGGCAGCACCCACCAATACCAACTGTTCCCGTTCCCATTAGGAGAAATTACCCAATCATGTAAAATCAAGTTTAAAGTTCTTTCCCCTCCTTCTGTAATTGTGCATAAAAACTGCTTGCCATTATGAATCAGGGCTCTCTCATCCTGAAGCTGCTGCTTCGGGCATGAGCCCAGACTCGAGCCTGAATAAAGACCCTCGTGTGTTTGCATCGGAGCTGGCTCTTTGTGGTCTCTATCTCTCTCATTAGAGTCCCGGGTTCAACACTTTTCTGTGTTTCCTTTACGTTCAGGGCAATTGAAAATTCATAAGAATCTAAAAATGAGAAATAGGGGCAGTTGAATGCCAGCCAGCTCAAGTGCCTGAACCATTTTTGTTTTTAACATTCCATCTAAAGAGAATTATGAAGACTAAACTTTGGCGGACGTCTCCTAGAATTTGGTTGTTGTGTTGGAGTACAAACAATAGAAGTAGATCTTAGTAAAAAGGAAGAATTGGAAAATTTTTACAGTTGCTAATTAGGATCTGATTGAGAAAGGAAAAGATTAGATTTGGGCAACTTTTTTAAAGAATGAAATTATTGCAGAGAAAAAGTGACTCTGGGTAAGAATGGGAAGATGGGTACAAAAATTTTTTTAAAAGCTCCCTTCCGTAGGTGAGATGGCAAAGTAAACAATAAACAAACACAAAGCAACAACAAAAAACCCAACCAGCCACTTGAAGGAGAGCTTGGAGGAAAGCTATCAGAAATGAACATACTACCTTTCACATGTTTTTGAGAGAAAGATCTCTCTTGCAACTAACTGCACAAGTGACCTGCTACCTTGCTTAAGTGTGAGGGCCCCAACTTGATGTTGGCCCTTTGTTCTGTAATACCATTTGATGTGCTGTCTTTTTTCCTCCTCCTCCTCAAGTCATGAGATCTAATTATGCCTCATAAAATGCTTCTAATGAGTCCTTTTCCAGATGGCTTAGAGTTGAAGTTAAATTCCTGTTAACTTCTTCAGGGTCCATGTCTTCTTTTGCCAAATCTATTTTTGTGAGTTGACATTTTTAGACGTCTCTT